TATTGTTTTCTAAAAGCCAGTGTGAAGTATAGTCTGATTTATGAATCGAGACGTGGTCATGCATAAAAATTAAATTTTCATCGTTCTGATCTGTCCAATACGATTTTAAATGATTTTCTAAAGTATCTGTGTACCGTGCATTATTCATTCTGCCGGGAATAAAAGCTACCATTTTTTTTTTAGAGCACAAATTATAACTGACGCAATTTATGGTCGCTCTAGCAAAGAACTGTCTGACTTTCTTTGTGCCCGTGTTCCGAGCTTGTAGAGCCGCTATTATTTCGCTGGCACAGTGTTCGGTGATCTTAAAACACGTTTGTAAATTGCACTTTCTGATACGTTCGATTGATATTCTCTTTTTTTTATATTGATTAATAGCCTAACGGAACTGAAGGTAGCGTGAAATGTTTTTTGTTCATCTCGACGAGACAGCTTCGTCGGTCGTTCTGAATGCCACGTTTCACCGCGATTATGGTTTTTAGTGGCGTCGTCTGCAATGGCACTTTTGGAACGACATCAGCCATCGCCTTTTCCCTGTCACAAACTTCTTTTCCTCGCGACAGTTTTCTTCCTCGCTTTTCTAAGCGACTCAATCGACACTTGCGTGTACCAAGTAATACGTGTGAACGATAACATAAAAGAATGAATAATTGCACCGTCAGTAAAATTATATAAATGTACTGGATTCTGTTTTTATAAAAATTCAGTTTCCAATTTTATTTTTGTCCAACAATATAATATTTGTTTACTTATTATACAGAAGCTTGAAATATTCGTTCAGTTAACATTATATTATGTTGAGTAAGTCACGTAAATTGTAGATTTCATGTAACATAAATTATGCGTTACATGAAAAATTGTTAAATACGAAAGTTGCATGATTTCAAAGGAGGTAAATGATTACGTACGCATAAAAATGTTCTATTTTTATGAAGCGCATAATTTGAAAGATATTTAAGGTATGTGAATTACGTGACTTACCCAGTATACAAATCGAAATTGACACATCATAATAATCTTCTCTCATTGTTAGTATCAACATCGTCTTGATCCTATTTAAAACTCGATATTTAATATTATCATAATATCACTAGCAGAACCATCTTATCTAATAAACATCATAGGCCGCAGTTTCCGAAACTTTTTGAACTCACATCCTCCTACTCAGTTCCGTTTGTTCAATTTCCCAGTACACGGTCTTTATCATTAAAATTTCCAAGTGAAGTTGGGCGTATTCTTTTTTTATCTGAAGGGGTTAGATTCGACGAAGAGAAAGAGAGCGAGAGAGAGAAAGAGAGAGAGGGAGAGAGAGAGAGAGAGAAAGAGAGAGAGTCAAATAATTAAAATCTGAAATTTTAATATACTGAGACCTTTTTGCAGCTACGTTGGAAAATTATGGCTTTTATGCACAAAGTATAAAAGGAATGAAAATTCTGTGAATACTTCTGTTGTGTTAATTTTGAAAATTTTATACGGTACGAGTGCACAAAGATTTGTCGGTCGAATTATCTTGAAAGCTAGTGCAGAATCATTTAGTTGTCAAATATATTACACATATACTTACAACATGTGTGTTATAATTAAATAATTGATGAATCTGTAATTATCTACTGAAAAATACAAATTATTTATTTTGCACAGAAAATTCAAATTATTTATTTTACATAGCAAATTCAAGTTATTTACTTTACATAAAAAATTCAAATTTACCAGGCGGTATGAAATAGTATGGAAAGTGATAAGCGTTCACAAAATAATCCCTTTAAATAATGGGGACAAATAAACAATCTGGTGACAAGTGTTACATTAGAACTTTCTCACATAACTGTATTTTAACTTTCCGATAACCACAAAATTATTTGAGATAAATTAATAAATTCGTCCAACAAATCTGTACAATTTTATGACGTTATATGTTGACTTTAATGTTCTTTTCACTTATTTAGGATAAATAAATATTCGAACGAACTGTTAAAAAAATTCTGTTCACCTCGAAACTCGTTAATCATAATTTCGTGCTTCAACGTTCTACGGAAGCAACTATTATTAAATAAAAGGTTAACAGACATCGTGCTTTAACAGAACAATTTTTGAACACTGACATCCATCATCTGGGTAACGTGGTGTAATACTTTTTATCGTATCAACATATATCAATGTCACAATGTAAATCGAAAACTACTTTTTGCGACCGCACGATCGATTTGTTAGCTTGCGCTGTTTAAAATTCATACTATCGATTGTATTTCTACCATTACGCGTTTTTTCCGGCGTAAATACGCGCGTGGCCGGAATAGAATTTCGTTTAGGAAATATTGGCAGCCTCTATTTTTGCCGGCCGATAGAGCGTTTCGATTCGCTGAAATACGGCCGTGACGAATTGTAATCGGGTTTTGTCCCCGACATTTTACGCGCGATGAGATTACGCGCGCCATTTTGCGCGGGACACGAAATCTCTGGGTCACGGCACGCCTCGCGCAGCGATTTAAGGAGATCTATGATCTTAATATTTGACGGGAACGATTTTCCAACCCCATCGGGGTTAAGCGAATAGCGTATAGTTCGGAAAAAGGAAGGAGGAAACTCGAACCAAAAAATTTCACTTGCAGGGAACGTTAAAATAAATGATAAATATTAAATGAACCTTTGTACTTTCAAATTTAGACTTACGAAAGAATTAGCATAAATAAACAAATTTATAAATATGCAGATCGTCGCCCTTTGGGTGGTCTCTCATTTAAATTTTGCGCGCTAATGACTTCGCTCGCCCTATACATCAATCATTCTAGTTGAGGGCAATTACGGGAGCGTATTGGAAATTATTCTGCAAGTTTTGCTAAACGAATTTCAACAAAATTGTCGCTGTTTACTTGTCGGTAGAATTGGCCATATTTTATTCGAATAACGAATAAAATTTTACTCGTAGAGTTTATTTGAAATATTATTCGAATAAAATTTTGTTCGAAGAATTCATTTGATATAGTGTTAGAATAAAATTTTATTCCAACAATTTGTTCGAAAATTTTATACAAAGTGTTGTTCCAATAATGTCCAACTCAGCTTGTCGGCTTTTATATTTCCGAACATGTCGGCATTTATCAGACTGTCTAGTTAACCAAGTCAATTTAAGAACACATTATTCTCTATGACAGTGCAATTCCTAATATTATAACTAGATTGTGAATTTTTTTGCGAAATAAAAATTTTCCAAGGCGATTGTGAGGAACGGAAATTAAATAAAAATACATTGTTTCTTTCAATCAATTTAATAAACTGAAAATAGTGTAACCATAGTGACTCCTGTTAATATCCGAACACTTTTCAAAATGCAATAACTTTTTTAGAACTGGACTAAACGACTTGAATGTTTTTTAGATGATAGAGCGACCAATCTACTAGACCATAACTATAATAGAATGCTTTTTTAAAATATTGCTATTCCTTAAAATACGAAAGCAAATAAAAAACTTTCGTTTTTTAACTTTTTTTATCTGAGCCTATAACGAAACTTTAAAACATGTGTTTTGTAGATCTCGGTAAGTTATATGGATGTTAAAAATTTCACCGAAATCGGTTGACCTTGGTATGAGCTGTAAACAATTAAAGATCGTAAGAATGGCAGTTTTGTTCCGATTTTTGACACTTTCTACAAATAAGTGTGAGAAATTTTCAATGTTTACAATCTTTTAACGCTTGTAACTTGACTTTGCGTTAACTGATTTCGATCTACAAAACGCATTCTTTAAATTTTCGATATAAGTTCAGATAAAAAGTAATAAAGCAGGAAACTTTTATTTTATTTTGTCGTCCCAAGTAATAGAAAAATTGTAACAAAGTAGTTCAGTCATTGTTTAATATACTAGTCCCTCTATTATCTTATCTAAAAAATCAATTAAAATAGTTTATTCTAGTTTTAAAAAACTTATTGCGTTTTAAAAATTGTCCGAATATTAATGGAAGTCACTGTATATCACTAAATTCTTCTTATGCGTTCACAATTTTATATTTCAGCTACACACTTTTGCCATAAATACATAAAATCCGCAGTTTTAAAAATCGCTTTTTGAAGTAG